ACAGCTTCTCTGGGCACCCTGTGCCAGCGCCTCAGCACCCTCACAGTCATGATTGAATTATGTGCAAGCTAACTAAACGTGACTTGAAATTCATTAATAAATGTAATGATGAAGTCAGGTTATTTTTGACAACACTAAGCTACAAAGTTCAGTTTCTCCTTTTTTATCTACTCTTAGCTTCCTGGTATTAAACACAAATTTCACACTTGTGAAGGTGCCAACCTGCTTTTATTCAAGCAGTGTTTTTCCTTAGTTCCTTCTGCATCTTGTGCATTCCTGATAATTAAACTTCAAAGTCAGTATTTGTTTTAAGAGAGTGTGAGTTTGAGCATCTGTAGGTGTGTTTGATTAGCTTCACTGGCTGCTTGGATAGACAATCCGTTTCCCATTCTGGTCTGCAAAGATTATATTCACAAGAGGATGGGCATTTTGTGCTTGACATGAAAAGAACAGAAATAGTAAAAGGTGGTACAACTGGGCCAAACTTAATTTATTTTGCACATCTGGAGACTTCTCCAGAGCCGGTTATGGTTTTCTTTCTCAGCAGTTTTCACCCTGGAAAGGTCGGCCATGATTTCATTATTTTCCATCCACAGCTCTCATCAGAGTTTGAGATCTGTGGTCTCAAAAAGCCTCTCTCAGGTGATTTTGCTCAGACTCAAGAGAAGATTTCCTTAAATCTGCTTCCAGGCCTGTTTTCTCGAGGAATGGTATCTCTAATGAAATGAATAGAGATGAATCTGGTTAAACATCTGCTACTCACTAAGATGTGACATTTCCTGTGCTTTTTCCCCCCCTTACTTTGGGGTTTTTCTATAAGTCCCAAGGCACCAGCTATCATTATATCTACAGTCAAACACTAATGCAAGTGGGACAGTAATGCTACATACAGAAGGTGGGAACTGCTAATTTCCTTCCTTTCATTCATGAGGAACCCAATCTGTATGCCTTCTGCCCAGCTGCACGAGGAGTGAACAGTACCTAGGCTTTGCTAATTGCTCTGCCCTGGCCTTTGGACCTGGCTGTGCCTCTGCCAATTTGTAAAGAAGTGATTCCCTTTCCATCCTTCCCTGTGTAATGCAAGAGATCCCTTCATCATTGGATTTGAGATCAGAGTTAGCATAATCTGAGATGACAGGTTAGAAGAAACAATTGAATTATGAGTATATCCTGAATTTGGGGAGTCAGCATCAATGCGTTGTGGTGATGGTATCTACTCAGAAGTCATTCTGACACACTGTGAAAATATTTACAAGCTTCCAAGATGAGACTTTTCCTGATTAGGGAAATCAAAGACTGGTTTTCCCAGCAGGCCTGTAGTTAGCTCATCCAAATTGCTTCTGTTTTAATTGGCATGCATTTCCTTTAAGCAGCTAGAAGATTAAAAATATTTGACTTGGGCTCTACAGGACTGGAAGCCTATTCCCCAAGACACAGACACTGAGGAAAAAAACCAAACCAACAAAATAACTTGAGTTTGTAATGCATTTGTGCACAAAAATCTGCAACATCTTTGCCAAACAGAATCTTAGACCAAGGTGAAGACTTGAATTCTGACTTTTAAATGACAAAAAAGAGAGTAGTGTTTTACTCAGGCTTTCTAGTACATTAAACTTTTTGGTACCTGGAGTGGATCTAGACAGGCTGCTATTTTATCTTTCTGCCCACAGCATGCTGCACTTTAGGAACCTTTTAACCTAAATTTCATGTTTCTAAATCTTGTTTCAGAAGCATTAGTAAGAGAAGTAAGAAGAAACGAGCTTTATTAAAAGCTGCTGCTTTTGTCTGGAAGAACAGTGTGACATCGTATGTGAAATTATTTTTTCAGTTACTGGAGTTCTTATTTCTCTTTTGCTGAGCATGTGCATGGAGGACTGTTTTCCCTATAAACTCTTGTCATAGGGAATGGTGAGACCACATACGCCTAATCGAAGAGGAAATGGTCGTGTGCTAGGATGGTGTCAGAGGCTACACTCTCAGGATTTCAGGGTGCTGAACTTTCCCAAACCTAATGCAATACTTGGATTTCTTGTAGAGAAGGCACTAAATTTCACCCACTTGTATTAATCTGATCTATTTGAGAGATGCAAAGCCTGAACCCTACTGGTGGGGTAGTACAGCCATATGCCAGTCTCCAGTTTTCTTCTTCTCAGCCTTTGTTAAAGGAATATTAACCACTGGGGAAGGGAGAGATGGTCATGTGTCAGTGATGCTCACCTGATGTGCTCCCTGGCAATGTTCCTGGGCTTCTCATAAGAGAGATTCAAGGATCGAGTGACACCTCCATATCCCATTCCAGGGGATGAGAGATGCATTATCAGTGAATAATGTTAGTCATGCCTTGTGCTTTCTATATTTTGTCATCTGCCTTTCAAAACCAGGAGATGGTGTTTCCCTGGTGTTGGAATGCTAGGTGAATGCAAAGAGCACAAACTCGGAGTGAAGGAAGTGTGAACTTCATATTTGTTTATAGATTAATATTTAATTGAAGGTGAAATTAAAAATTAAGCAGGCAGATGAGTCATGCTAAAAAGCAGCAAACCTGTCTTGCTGTGGCAGACAAATGACAGTGAATTTCTAAAAATAGAAGCAAATATATTAATGTGTAGTGATGGCACAGTGAGTCAAAAGAGATGATTTGATTGAGGGTGGTGGGTGCATTCCACAGAAAAATCATGTAGAAAACATCTTTGACATTGAGTTCAGTGCCCTTTGCATCTGTAATGAGATCAGGATATGGCTCTCCTTGGCAAATGCTCTTTAGAGCAGTTTTATTTTTTAGAGGAATGTTTAAAACCCCACAGGACTAGCAGAGCCCAGTAAATTCTCTGTTAGGGGAGTGGCATGTTTGCATTTTTAACATGGTGGCTGTTTTACATGTCCTGTGTTCAAGAGCTTGATGTGTACTTATCTAAGGAATAGATTCCTTTACTGGAAGTAAACACCAGTCTGTTACTTTAGCTATTCATTATAATTATTATTGATGCCTCATTTTTTCACAGCCTTTTTTCTGGGTATCCTTTTCCATGGTCAAATCTGAATCTGCTTTTTAATGTGACTGTCGGCAGCATCTTATCATAGATGAAGCCACAAAGAGTCTGAAATCATCATTTTGGGGAAGGGAGGGCATATCATCAGTGGAGGTTGTGGTGCTGCAGTGCTCCTGGGACGAAGTCTGTTTTACTGGGTATGTGTGCTATCTCTGTCCTGCAGTTCCTTCAAAACAATGCTCCAGGCTGATGTTATTCCTATTCAGAATACAGATCCATCTGGTTTAAAGACAGATAAAGCAATAGTCGGGTCTTTTATGTTTGCTTTATAGGGAATTGTCTAAAAATGAATTGATGCTGTGAATTCAGCATGCAAGCATGGAAAGCTGAGTGTTGTTGGCAGAGCAGAATATCTCCTTCTTGGCTATAGCTAGGCAAATAAAGGCCCTTTTTAATTACTACTTCCAGTTCTTTGTTGCTCACTGTAAGCCACATTTTGTGCAGAAATTGTTCTCTTGTTGTGAACTTGAAAAGCAAGACATCAAATCAATGTTGGCACTTCTTGGCATTGGAATATATGTCAATAAATAGGACAGGTAGACAAAGCATGTAGCAGTTGCCTGCTGTTTTAATTGCATCTGTAATATTGTGTTAAAGCTGGTCCTTCATCTCTCCTCCCCACCCTCCTTCTTTTCCTTCCTCCAGAGAAATCAAAGGAATGTTTTTCCTCTGTAAATGAGAGGGCTGGTAGAGGTTCAGTTTGTCTGATTGAGCAAGGTGCATTAGGCAGCTCCACAGCAGATACCAGCACTGGCAGAGAGGAACTAATGCATGCAGCGGACCTGACCTTCCTCACATGTGGACCAAGGACGGTGCAGTTAGAGCAGTGGAAAGACCAAGCCTATGTGTTATGTTAACTAATATGTGGGAGGGAGGTTAAAATTGTTGCAAAATACAAAATTGGGACTTTAAACACTTTAGCATCCTGTATACGCCTTTTATGTGTGTACCCATTTCCACTGTGCATTGCTGTACCTAGAGTGTTCAAAATATGTACATTGACTATGACAGGCTTGTCAGTCATCATCAGACAAACTGATAGTATGCTTTTGTAAAGATCTTTATTATGAAAAACTATTCTGAGACCTATAAATCAGACAGTGCACTCCCACTAACCCGCTTGAAGCAAAAAAGAAACATTTAATCTCTGTTAAAACTCTGTGCCAAATGTAATAGCTGGTTTTAGCAGTGTTTAAACCGACTTCATTAGAACTTGGGAACTGCTTTTAAAGGCTGGTTTTGGCAAGTCATCGTCTGTCTCCCAGATGATCCAAATGTGGTTTGTTCAACACTGCGTGTGTGTTGGGGTGTATGTTTATCCCTGCTGTGGGGGGAAGCTGTGTTGGTGCTGGGCTGACAGGAGGCAGTGCCATGACATGGAGCATAGCGCTGGATGTTCAGGCAGGACCCTTCAGGCGTTGCATCTCTGTCCTGGGCTCTGCTTGCTTTCACAGGAAGCCATGCTGCCAGGAGTAATGTATGTAAATGTGCTCTGAATTTGTAACAGTGGTTCTAGGTTTTCCACCAGTTTTACTGTCCTTGCACTGAAAACCAGTTGTGCTTTAACCTGTTATGAAAACTAGTAGTGTTTAACTAATTTTAGTTACCTTGTAGCCTTTATGAGCGAGTCTTTGTTCTTGTCAAAGGTTGATGTGGCTGTATGAACCAGAGCATATACTGGAGGTGCATCTAGCATGCTGGACTAATTGGTTACTTATTAATATTCATAAGCCATCTCATTTAGCTTCAGCCTCAGAGAGCTTCATGTACAACAGAGCTAGTGTTATCCTTGCTCTGACTCCCCGCAGCACTTAACAGATCTCTACAGCAGTTCTGCATAGCTTTTCTTAAATGACAACTCAACCTGCAACAATAGAGTAAATTTGATATCACCTTTGTAAAGCGTTATTGCTCACTCTTGTAATGAGTCCTTTCTGCTTGTTCCCAAAGGTCCAGAGGAAGAAATGACCATGTAGATTCTACAGCTTGGGTGCAGCATAATGGGCAATGGTGAATGGAGTGGAGCTGGTCTGCAGCCTTGAAAGCAGCCGTCCTGCAGACCACTAGCCAGGCAGGGACACCTTGCACGCCAGAGGCATCCTCCACGTCCTTGCCGGACACATACTGGATTCTTTTTAATTTCTCCGATTGGAATTCAAGATTCCTTTCCTTCAATTTTTAAACAGTTTTAAGATTCTATCAACTGTAACGAGTGGAGCAATATAATCAGCAACAATGGGTGACATGACAAATAGCGATTTTTATTCCAAGAACCAAAGAAATGAGGCCAACCATGCAGGAGAGTTTGGATGCACACTGCAAGAACTGCGCTCCCTCATGGAACTTCGAGGGACAGAAGCAGTAGTAAAAATTAAAGAGACATATGGGGAAACAGAGGGGCTCTGCAGACATCTGAAGACATCACCAACAGAAGGTAAGTGTATTTCACTTCAGTTGGAACAGGGGACTTTACATAAGTGCTCCCCAGAGAGTGAAAGAAAGAGGTTTTGTTTCAAACCTGAACATAATTGTCACGGTGCTGCCATTTTTGCCAACAATAATAAAACAGAAGTGTCTCTGGAGAAAAAAGATAAAAGCGATCTAGCTATGGGTAAAGCTAACGTGAGAATAAAAGAAATGCAGTTTATTCAAACAGCTAAATGCATTAATTTTTCCATAAAAGGCAGACAAAAAAATCAGCACCTGCTTTATGGCATTATAAAGAGGCATCGACATATATGCTCTTGAGGGTAAGGAAGTGCAGACTGGTTGCTTCAGAAGAATCTTGAGGTGTTTGAACATATGAGAATATGAAATGGCCTTTTGAGATACACGTTATGTTATGCTGTAGCTCAATATGTAATATACTTATGTATTTTGTGGTTTTTAATCTTGGCTTACAATATTATCACATTTCACTTAATTTTGCTTAAGTCATCAATATATGATGGTATTGATCTTTGTATTAGCTGGACTTTGTATGCATAATCAAACTCCCGACTTTCTTACATTTAATAATACCAGTCGTAACTTTTAAGTATCCTTCTGAGTGTGGAGTTCTCTACCTGATTATCAGTCATGCCAAGTATCTCCCCGTAAAACATTGACAATGGTGGGACATTTCCCTCTCCTAATGCAATTTTTTCACCAATTCTTTCATTTTTAGTGAGAGTAAAATTCTATTTAATTTTAAGAATACTATTTTAATCGCTGTATTTTCATCTCCAAGGAGAATGAACATTTTTAGAAATGATAAAGTTTTTGAGTCTGTAATACTTATCTGTGCTTCTAAAGTAGCCAGGATGTTAATTTGAAGTTACTTTTGTTTTTAAGATCATTTAGTTACCTCCACTGCTTAAATGCTTGAAAGAGCTTGACTTAGTGGGGCAATTCTAAACGTGTCAGTTGTAGCATCACATAGAATGATATTATAAATAACTCTAGTCGAAAAGTCCCAAAGAAGCAGCTATAACTGCCTAGCCTTCAAGTAAATTCTTCGTGGTCCTACAGCTTATCATATACAGACTCAGTATTGTTTAACCATTATAAACTATAAAGCTCTGAACAGCATCTTTTCAGAAGAGGATTATTAAACTAATTCTGTATTCAAGTGAACAGCCAGCTTCGATAGTGCTTCAGCATTCGCATGCAGTCTTGTGTTCTAAATACCAAGTTAACTGGTTCTGAGTAACTAGTGTCAAACATTTTATGACAGATCTCTCCCCTTTTCTGGTCTTGCTCAAACCTGAGCCTTCAGGCAGACCTCTTTTCCTGCCTGGAGATTGCTCCCAGTAGGAGTGCAGAGATAGGAAGCTGAGACCCTGCCACTTGTCTGGGACTTCCAGATGCCTGTCAGTCAGAGTAGCCTAATAGCTGTTGCACACGAGAGATTCAACGCTTCAGAGGATATGCAGCAATAGAGAATATATGCAGCGATTCTGACCTATCTCTGACGCATCTGGGGAATTCCAGACTGAAGTGCAGGGTCTCTGTATTTCCATAACAGATTAAACACTGATTTATAAATATCCCTCTAGAGGTTCAGCATCTTAAATATCCTGCAGCGCTTTTGTAGAATGTCAAAGCTGAAGTCTCCATCTGGGTGAGGCGAGATCACTTCAGTGACTTCAGTAAAGTTCTGCCAACTCGCTCTAGCGGTTACCTGGTCAATGTGAACTTCAAAGGAGATGTTGATTGCGTTATCTGTTCAATTTGTGACATCAGGGAAACTTAATTCCTCATATCGGAACAGAGCGTATGGATCCAACTAGTGTGGCATGCTGACTCCAGCAGTAATCTATATCTGATACTTCAGATAAGGTAACTTTCCTTTAAGCCTTACCTGCACTTCATCACTTGTGCATTGTGGAAAAAACATTTCCAGCTTCAAATGGCAATCAGCATAGCCTTTGAATCCTGGAGACTCTGCTGGGTTTTAATTCAGAATTAGAGCACATAATGGGAATTCCCAGTCATACTGCTTTTTCATCTTGTTTGTTTTGCTTGGAAAAACCATTTTAGGGGTGAATCTGTCTAAAATATGTCATGTCAAACTTGGAAATTTTCATTTGAGAGAAAGTATATCCATAAGAAGTCCATAGAAAAAACTAAAGGCTTATGTCAATATAAATGTATGCTTACATATAAGTGCCTAGCTCTCGTTTTTCTTAAATCCAAGCACAGCATACAAAGTTAAAATACAGTGAAAAGGGTATCCTTGAAAATAGGACTGTTCTTAGAGGAAAGAAACATAACAGTTTCTTCTATGGAAATGTAATTTTAGCATCAAGTATACGTGACTTACAAATAAATTATTGACGTAGGTTCCCGCAGAGTTTTATCTTTTGGTATTTGCAACAAACCGTGGATTCCCCATGGGAATATCTTTATGAAATCCCATATTTTGCTGCTACGCTTGAAAAGCACTTTTCCAACCAGTACAATTTTGGTGAAGCACAGTTAACTGCCACGTTTTTATTGTCTGGAGTGCTGCACATTTTACACAATTTTATGAGGAATATCAGAATAAGCATTACTGTGGGACACTACTTCTTTCAATAAACCAAACAAACTGCTGGGCAAGGGTCCGGGGTCAATATGAATGGAATGGCAAAAATTACTTGACTGTAGAATTTGGTTCTTCCCAGGCCTTTAAACTCTTTCAGAGTGTATTTCCATGAAGTCTTTATTGTTTTGAGCGGTATGGCTTAAGTAGTTACTGGAGCAGGAAAAAAATGTAGCCTGGAAGCAGGCACGTTATAATTTGGTAAAATGCGGTCTAATCCGAATTTACTGGCTTACTTGATATTTAGAAAGTAAGAAGTAGTAATTAGCTCAGAGTTTACTCAGCAATTCAATTCCCGTGTTAATATTTGATGTACCACCTATGGACTGGTAGAATCAATCACTTGTGTTAAAGGTGCCTTTTTGAAGGTCTTGCAAAGGCCTTCAACTTCTCCAGGTAAGATATTCTATGCATGAGTCAAATCTGGTTTGCCCTGTTGGTGAAGATACACTTACCAGTGCTTTCTGTGTTAATTTAGAGTGGAGCTTTAGAAGGTTGCTGAATGTTGAGTAGAATAATACTTACATGCTGAATGAACTAATAATGTTGTTATGGGTTACAAGGCTTCAGTCTCTTCTTAAATTTTCTTTGACTGCTTTTCTAGCTGTAGATGCAGTGTGGATCCCAGCTCTCAGTTGTGCCTGAGGGATTTCCTTCATTAAAGTGATTATATTATAATGAATAGCTACCATTTAAGGGCTCATAAAAAAGAACAAAAAAACAAACAACAAACTATGGAAATACTTTATATGCAAAAATACAAATGTGTCTCTACGTGCATTTGCTTGAAAACTATTTTTATTCCAATTAGTTTCACTTTCATATTCTAGTAATACAGAAAACAAGCAGGATCTGTCATTGTGCACAGTGACACCATTGAATCCCACCTTGGGCAGAGCTGTAGTGGCAGCTCTGTAATGTTCCATGCAGGCTGAGGCTCACTCAAGCCCTGTGAGACCACGTCTGGAGATGTGTTTGGTGCTGGGCTCCTCAGTACAAGACAGACAAGGAGGTACTGGAGAGAGTCCAGCAGAGGCCACAAGGGTGATCGTGGTCTGGAGCATCTGTCCTATGAGGAGAGATTGCAGGAGCTGGGCTGGGTTAGTTTAGAGGAGAGCAGACTGAGAGGGGATCTCATTAAATCCACATCCGTATCTCAGAGGTGAGCGCCAGGAGGATGATGCCAGACTTTTCAGTAGTGCCCAGTGACAGGACGAGGAGCAGTGGCCATAAACTGAAACATGAGAAGTTTCACCTCAACACGAGGAAGAAGTTCTGAAGTTGAGGATGGCAGAACACTGGGACAGGCTGCCCAGGGGCATTGTGGAGTCTCCCTCTCTGGGGACATTCTAGACTCTCCCAGGCACGTTCCTGTATAACCTTCTCTAGGTGGGCCTGCCTTGGCAGGGGATTGGACTGGATGAGACCCCTTTCAACCCTAATGATCTTGTGGTTCTGTGATTAGTGATACCTTATGAAGGACTGCTGGTAAAATGTAATGAGTTAGTTGGGTGAATGCCAGATGAGATTGGAATCCAGTCTTTCTGATGCTTACCCATATTTCACCCACAATTTCATGTAGTATGCACCAGTTTACAGTAAGCTTTTCATCTACATTCCCTTAATATTAAAGAAATGCTTACTCCTCATAAAAATACTGTAGGGAATTAACTTCTGTGACTTCTCGCTTCAAATACTTGGATGCAGGAATTTCCAGTGTGTGCAAGAAGTGAAGCTGTGAATAGTGCTGCTTGTCTCATTTTTCTATAGAGACCAAAGTCTTCCATTGGTGATATATATGCAATCAGGCCTCAAATGGCAGCTCTAAAAGACTTTACACGTTGGTGATAATGGGATAATACAGCTCTACCAGGGAAGTTTTTCTGCAGGTGTTTAGTAGATGCCTGACAGACTGAGTCTCCCCATTTCTGGGAACGCTCTGGTAGCGTGTGAGGAGCTTTCAGATGTAATATTATTACATAAGCTGGAGGAATCCCGTTTTACGTGAAAAATGCAAATTTGATTTTTTTTTTTTTGTATTTTGTAGCTGTTCTTTTAGAATACTGTAAAAAGGTCTCATGGCAACCAGGGGTTGCCAAATAGCAGTTAAATGATGGTATTTCTAGTGTAGAAGTTGATTGAATCATCATAACTGCCCTTGGTTTAGATAGATACAAAGATTAAGTTGCTATCTGTTGAAATGCATGGTTTTTACATGTACATAGGGACCGAGTATAAATTCAGCAAAGAGCATTTATTTTCCATTATTACAGTCTTGCCTTTTACAGATGTGACTGTGAGGTAGAAGAAGACAGACTGAATACAATGAAATTAAGCACTTGCTTTTAGTACTCACTAGTTTTGGTTCC